CAAGAGGGGAGGAACTGGTTTACCCTGTCACGGTTCCCTTTTCTTCGTTCGTTCCTGATTCGTGATCCTACTAACCTTCTTACTTCGAAGAAGGCGTTCGTCATCCATCGATTGCAGGGAGGAACTGGTTTACCCTATCGCGGGTTCCCTTCTTCGTCGTCCCACGCTCGTGGTCCTACTGGCCTTCTGCTCTGGCAGAAGGTGTTCGCTGATCCACGGGTAATGGGAGGAACTGGTTTATCTTGCCGAGGTTCCCTTGGTTCATCTACCCCCCCCCCCCCCCCCGCGTTCTGACTGGCCTCCATGTCAGGAGACGTTCGTCATTCACGAGTAGTGGGAAGATCTGGTATACCCCGTCAAGACTCCCTCTCTCGTAGGAGTTTGTCTCCCCTTCTCCCTTTTTTTTAGGGAGGAAATCTTTCAATAGCCCTTCGGGGGCCCTTTGCAGCGCGTTTCTAGCGTCCTGCGGCTTTAAGCCCTTAGTAGGAAGTAAAGGACAAAAATGGATCTTTGGTATAGAGAAGACAATCGGTAATGTTACACGGTTCTTCGACCGAAAATGACAAAAGTGATCTATCTCTAACTATTGGTAGAATTTCTTCAGGTGTTCTACGTTCCAGATTCCAGCATGGTTTCCTTCCAAGGTGTGGAGGACGAATGTGCCCTGGTTGTATCTTCTGAAGACCCTATAAGGTCCTTCCCAATTTTTGGTCATCTTGCCACCCTCGAGTGGTTTGCTCTTCTCTCTTTTCCGGAGTACGAGGTCCCCGGCTTCGATTTCGCGGATCTTCACCGCCTTGTTGAAGTACCTTTGGGTGGCTCGGTGATATTCTTCCATGCGACGAGATGCTAGGTCCCTCCGTTCCTCGATGAAGTGGAGCTCCGCTCGTAGAGTGGCCTCATTGTCCTCTGATTGGTAATGCTTCGTGCGGTGGGTGGGTACTAGCACCTCTGTTGGCACTTTAGCCTGAAATCCGTAAGCCAAGGCAAAAGGAGTCTCGCCGGTTGCTGTCCTCGGGGTTGTCCTGTACGTCCACAGAACGTAGTTCAGCTGCTCCGGCCAGGTGGATGTATAGTCTTCTAACTTCTTTTTTATCCCGTCCATGATGGTCCGGTTCATATTCTCCACCTGGCCGTTGGCCTGTGGGTATGCCACCGAGGCTTTGGAGTGTCTGATCCCCCACTTGGCCAAGTATGCTTCAAATCCCCGCCCGACGAACTGCCTTCCATTGTCCGTGATGACTTGCTCTGGGATTCCGAAGCGGCATATGACATTCTGCCAGACGGACTTCTGGCATTGGTATTCGGTGATAGAGGTCAGTGGTTCGGCCTCTACCCACTTCGTGAAGTAGTCATTTGCCACGATGACAAATTTCCTTCATCCTGTCGCCGTTGGTAGAGGACCTAGTAGGTCTATGCCCCATCTAGCAAAGGGTAGTGCGATTGTCATCGGGGTGTAGAAGCTTGCCGGCCGTCCGGGGACAGGGGCGTACTGCTGGCATACGGCACACTTCCGAGTGTGGTTGAAGCAGTCCTGCTGGATGGTCGGCCAGTAGTAGCCCTGCAAAATGATCTTCCGGGCCAAGGTGCGGGGGCCCTGGTGTCTTGAGCAGATGCCTTCATGAATTTCCTCTATGACTGCCGCCGCTAAGCTTGGCGGGAGGCATCTTAGGTATGGCCCGCCGAACGTCTTCTTGTAGAGTTGCCCGTCAATCAGCTCAAAATTGGGGGCACGCCTCTTCACCCAAACTGCCCTCCCTGTGTTGCTATCATCTTCGGGTTCAGGGAGCGTCCCATCCCTGAGGTAGTCTGCGATCTCCTTCGACCAATTGGGCTCGGCGATGGAGATGGCCTTTATCTGAATGACGTCCGTCGCCGGTGCTGGGAGCGTCTCCTGTCTGACGAAGCCTCTGATGTGGCGGGGGATGCTCGTCGCGAGGTCATCGGTCGGGTGATTGCCTAGCTTAGATAATATGTCGGCCTCAGCGTTCTCCACCCGTGATACCTGCTCGATTAACACCTGCTCAAACTGCGCGGTTTGCTCCTCCGCGAGTTCCTTGTAGACCTTCATCCTTTCTTCTCTGGTTTCGGCCGTCCCATTCATCTGGGTTACAACCAGTTGGCTGTCCATCCTCACCTTCAGACGAGCTGCTCCGAGTGCTTTCGCGCATTTCAGTCCCGCGATAAGTGCCTCGGTACTCAGCCTCGTTGTTGGTGACTTTGAACTCGAACTTCATGGAGTAATAGGTTTTGAAGCCCTCGGGGGAAGTAATCACCGCTCCTCCGCCACAACCCCGCGCACTCGAGGCCCCATCGGTGTACATCTCCCACCAGTTGTTGAAATCATTGTCGTCTTGGGGTTCTTCCTCGGTGCGCGCAGTGCATTCGGCAATGAAATCCGCCAACGCCTGTCCCTTGATCGTTGGCCTTGGCTTGAACTCCACATTGTACTGGCCGATCATCAGGGACCATTTGGTTATTCTCCCGCTGGCCATGGGGTTCCTGAGGATTGTGGCGAGAGGTTGTGTCGTGTAGACCGTCACTGGGTGTGCTTGGAAGTACGGTGCCAAGCGTTTGATGGATGTTATCAAGGCGAGTACCGTCTTTTCCATCAGCGTGTATCTGGTCTCTGGGCCGTTCAACGCCTTGCTTACACAATATATTGGCCGCTGAATGCCCTCTGCCTCCTTCAACAGTACGACACTCACAGCCAGGTCTGCTACCGCCAGATACATGTACAATTGCTCCCCTGGGTCCGCCTTGGTGAGGACGAGCGGAGAGGAGAGGTATACTTTGAAATCCTCGAAAGCAGCCTGGCAGTCCGGTGTCCATTCAAAGGGATTTGCCTTCTTCATGATCTGAAAAAAAGGGATCGCCTTGTCAGCCAGTTTAGACATGAACCGGCTCAAGGCTGCCAGTCGTCCGGTGAGCCGCTGCACGTCCTTCAGGTTCTTTGGGGCCTCCATGTCGACTATTGCCTTCACCTTCTCCGGGTTAGGCTCGATCCCGCGTTCGCTCATCATGTAGCCGAGGAACTTGCCACCCTTGACGGCGAAAGCACACTTCTTTGGATTGAGCCTCATGCTGGCCTTCTCCATGATGCCGAAGACCCTCTCCATGTCCTGGACGTGATCCTCCTCCTTCTTGCTCTTGATCAGGATGTCGTCCACATAGGCCTCCATGGTTTTGCCTAGTACGTCCTTGAACAACATCCCGATCATCCTCTGGAAGGTAGCCCTGTCGTTCCTCAGACCGAACGGCATGACTATGTAACAGTACACGCCGTCTGCTGTGACGAACGTCGTTTTTTCTGCATCATCCGGGTGCATGAACACCTGATGATAGCCTCTGAATGCGTCCATGAAGCTGAACAGCTCGCAGCCTGCTGTCTCGTCCACTAGCAGGTCGATCCTCGGCACCGGATATGGATCCATCGGACACGCCTTGTTGAGGTCCGAGTAATCGACGCACATCCGCCATGTGTCGCCCTTCGGGGCTAATACCACATTGGCCAACCACTGCACGTGGATGACCGGCCGGATGTGCCTGATGCTAAGGAGCGTTGCAGCCTCCTTCTTGATGAAATCTCGTCGGTCAGCCGTCATGTATCTCTTCTTTTGTTGGACGGGCTTGGTGATAACCGCTTTCGCGGCGTTGTAGTAAAACGGAGTCTAACCTTTCGGTTTTTCCCCGAGTATCGTGTCTCTCGAGGAATGGCGGAGGAGCTTCTTGATGTTAAGTCCAGTCACGGGTTATCGCAAATTATTGGAAGCTTTCCAAATTAAACTTTTGATTGATTTTCTAACTACTTCTTGGAAAGGAAAGTCAATTAAATTGTGCAAATACTAATGATGGCTCAAAAATAAACTAAATAAAAAATTATAATATTAAACTTAAATGGATTGATGCAAATAAGGGCAATGAATTGAGTAATTAGAAATGGATATATTCTTGGACCTAGTAATTAGGGAAATTAAAACTAAAATTGGACTAATAATTTCTTTCCTCATAGACAAGAATGCAAACTATTTTCATTAATTTATCCTATTTCTAGGTGTCATTAATGTGTTCAAAATGGTTGGCTTGAATTAAATTCTAACATCATAGACAAGGTAGAAATAATTCTCCAATATTTTAATTAATAAAAATAGCCAAATTCATTAACTAGTTAAACTCTTTATTTTAGCAATTGAATTTATCTCTCATAGACAAGATGTAAATCCCTTTCATTAATTTATCCTATTTCTAGGCCTTATTAATGTGCTTGAATATGGTTGGCTTAAATTATTTTCTAATCTCATAGACAAGTTAGAAATAATTTTCCAAGAATTTAATTAATGAATATGGTTAACAATTATTAATTACTATTTCATCATTTCAAACAACTAGTCCAAATTATTAATTTTAATCCCTAATTTTCGGTCAACAAGTCAATCCATATTCCTTTAGTCAATTCATGCCCAAAACAAATTTAGCTAATAAACATCATTTTTTCATTTAACAATACAATGAATAAATTCTTCATTAACAAGGAATTAAGCATGTATAATAGCGAAAATTAAACAAAAATAATATTCTGCCAAAATAAAGTTGTAGAACTAAAATATCACCTTCTGGAATTTTTCCCGAATTTTATAACATAAAATCCAATTTTAACAACTAATTGATAATTTTCTCAATATTAACTAGAAAATACAAAAAACAAAACAACTACAAATATTCTAAATTTGTTCTAAATTTTATATTGACTACTAGGAGTGATATTACTATGAATTAAACTGGAATTAGTACAGAAACTAATTTTTTGCCTTTTTTGAGTATTTAATTTAATTTATGCAATAATAACAACTAAATGCCGGAATTAATTAAAATTTACTTCTACTTCGTAAAAATTAACTTTGTTTTGATAACTAACTACCTTGAGACTAGTACACAACTATATAATTAATTGGAATGGATTTAATGGCAACAACTATTTTATTCAAATTTAAGAAGAAAATGCGAAATAGTGGAATAATTTTCTGGAAATTTTAGAAGCACAGATAGAAAAAACTAAGTACAGATTCAGATTCTACTCATTGAAAGGATGAAAATACATATAAAGAACTCACAATTTGGAGCTAAAATGAGAAAGATATGAAAGATTGAAGTTGAAGGTGCAACAATGGTGGAAATCCGAGCTTTGAGGAGGAAGAAGACGCCCTTTTTGATCTGATTTGGGCTTGAAATTGGTGTGTTTTAGTTGAGGAAAAAGCCTGGTTTTTATAGCAGAAGAAATCCCGAAGGCGCCCGGGCAGGCGGCCGCCTTCTGGCAGCCTCTGGCCGCCTGCCGTCCTGTCGCCGGCAGACCGTCGGTGGCCGGTCTCCGTCAGCCGTAGGCGGCCACAGAGGGCGGCCGCCTTCTGTCACAAATGGCCGCCTGCCGTCTTTTCGTTGGCAGATCGGATCCCGGCGGATCCCGGCGGTCCAGCAGGCGGCCGCCTGCCGTCCTGTCTGGCCGCCTGCCGTCCTGTCTGGCCGACCGGTGGTCGGTTTCGTCCCCTTGTGCCGCAGGCGGCCACCGTAGGCGGCCGCCTTCTGTCCAGTGTCGGCGGCCTACGGTCTTTTCCAAATTCGGTCAAAGTCAAAGGTTGACTTTCCAAAAATACCGTAGGCGGCCGCGAAGGCCTCCATTTTGGCCGCCTGTTTGGCCGCCTGTGAGATTATTTGTCCGGCTTGTTCCTTGTTTTGTGCTCTTCAATATTGTCTTCTGGACCACTTTGAAATAATGTTTCCTTCTTTCGGTATGATATCATTTGTTGCCCATATTGGCTCATTTTGTGCTCAATTGACCCGAAATCCCGCTAAACATATTATGGATGTGATTTTTACCTGATTTCATGAAACTTGAACCAAAATATATAAAATGTGTCTTTTCTTTCTATTTTTATTCAAAAATCGCTTAAATTTGATAAGAAAAATAAGTACAAAAATGGACTTATCAATCTCCTCACACTTAAGCGTTGCTTGTCCTCAAGCGACGAATTAGTTGTAAACACACTCAAAAGGTAAAGCCTAACTGTATTACAATCTAATTGCTATTTTAAAGAAGTAGAAACAAAAACCTCATCTTTTATTCTCAATTTTTAAACATTTTAGAAAAATTACCCAAAATACAAGAATTTAAAATTAGTATTACTTAAGAAAAACTATTTATTATGTTAAACCACCAATCAATTCCTTATCCCAAGGTTTTTCATTATTCTAATTTGGACATTCATCTTGTTCACCATTTTTTTTTATTATTATTATTTTTTTTTTTTATTTTTTTTTTTTCTCTTTTTCACTCTTGTTGGCGGTGTTATCCCATGGTAATTGCATATTTCATTCTCACAGACTGTGATTAACGAATGAAACAGAGCCACTTTTCGGAGATGGAATTGTCCTATAACAATGAGTTTTGAAGAGGTTTATTAATAGTAACATGTTTTTTTTTTTTTGAATAAAATTAATGTCCAATTAAAACAAATTCGGACCTTTACATTCGCAACCAAAAACCCATAACAAATTTAAGTTTTCAAAAATAATAATAAAAGTAAATTTTTATAATAAGGGTGATTATCTAAACTATTATGTGATTGATAACAAATTGAGAAATTAATGTTTCATATCAAAAATAGTAAAAAGATTGTTCTAAAACAAGGTTTTAACTTTTGAGTGCAACCTCCTCACACTTGAGCTAGACCTCGCCCTCGAGGTCTTCTTTTAAGGCACAAACCCTTGAAATAAAGACACATTTTTTTTTTGGTTCTTTCCTCACACTTGAGTTTTGAAAAGATTTTGTGAAGAGGAATAATGAAACAGGAATAAAAAATCTTTACATCATTCATAGTTAGTTTGTAAGAGCATTTAAGTCAAAAGAGCAGCACAATGTCCAACCTGAATAAACAAACAAACACAATAAAAGGTTAAGGAAGAAAACTAAGCATCACCCGTGTCCTCCCGTAAGGCCTAAGCCAAACTCTTATTTCATCAACATTGAAGCACACCCTGCAAACACACAAAACAAACAAACAATGTTATGAAAAACATGGGTTGCCTCCCAAGAAGCGCTTCTTTAACGTCACTAGCTTGACGTTTGAGAGAGAACTCTCAGCTATGCATGTCAGTTGTGGAGCACTCATCATTAGTGCCTCCACCTTATCCTCCAGGTATGCCGTCAGATGGCGTAGACCCTTGAACTCTTGTGACCACCAAAATGTGATATAATCTTCAAAGAACACATCGTTCGAACAAGGAATTAGCACACATCCTGCATCACTCTCATTAGTATAATCAACAAGTATTTCAGGATCAGGTGCCTCTGGTGTCTCCAACCGCTCATAATGAGCCTTCAAGGTAGAAGTAGCTTGAATAGAGATTGCATACTCCTCTTGATGGGTTTTCTCTTCTTCATCTATGCCCTCAACATGAAAATCACAAAGTTTAGACTCTGTGTCACTCTCTAAGACTGCATCCCAACTTCCTAACTCACGACCCCCACAAATATCATCTAGGCAAACAAGTCTTTGCCTAGCACAACTATGCTCAACATGCTCAAGTAGAGAATCAAAGAAGGCATCATCGGACATTGTTTCCTTCACATCACAAGTTTCATCAACTATTTCAACAGGTGCTTGAGCTTGTGTAGGATCAAAATCTTCACCAAGGCTATCTTTGTGGCACTCCTTAAATGAGAGGTCAACCATAGATGGTAGGGTAGGTTCCTTGTCACAAAGTATCTCATCATCTATGGTTTCTTCATCAACCTCATTGGGCACTTTCATATGGGGCTCTTGAGAATTAAGTTCTACGAGGATAGGCTCTCTCTCAATAGCAATGAGAGGCTCAAAAGAAATAGGGGTGAGAAGAGTTTCAACCATCTCGCCCATGGTTACCGCAACCTCCTCCTCAGATTTAGCACCTTCCTCGTATGTCTCCTGTTGAACTTTGTGGTCATTGTCATAAATGATTTTTTCAAACAATTCCTTGATACTCTCATCATGAGATGCCAGTTCAATCCTTGTCTTTCTTAAGTCTTCCACAAAATCGAGTAAGGACGATTTTAACTCTTCGAGTTCGTGTTGAGGATAAGGTGAAATTCCAGAGTTACCCTCGTAGGAGTACTCGTTTGTGCTGGTGTAATGATTTTCTAGCCTTTCTTGGTAATTTTCATGATAATTAGAATCATCATGATAATTACCTTGATAGGAGAAATCATCACAGCCTTCAAAGTCTTGCCCTTGGTGGAAATAATTATCTTGAAATTGGTAATCTCCATACCCCAAAGGTGGATTTTCGCACCATTGATTGTTATCCTCATAACCTTGTCCATAGTATCCTTCATTTTGATTATTTTGAAAAGATTGTTGTTCATAGTATGGATAGTGATATGGTGGTTGAGAATTAAAGTGTTCACTTGAGTAATCCATGAGGAAATCTCAAGCAAACACGTGAGAACAAAACAAAAAAGAAAAAGAAAGTCTCCCTAACTTGAATTCGCCCATGCTAAAATCAAAATCAAGAAATCACCGTGCCATTCCCCGGCAACGGCGCCATTTGATAACCGCTTTCGCGGCGTTGTAGTAAAACGGAGTCTAACCTTTTGGTTTTTCCCCGAGTATCGTGTCTCTCGAGGAATGGCGGAGGAGCTTCTTGATGTTAAGTCCAGTCACGGGTTATCGCAAATTATTGGAAGCTTTCCAAATTAAACTTTTGATTGATTTTCTAACTACTTCTTGGAAAGGAAAGTCAATTAAATTGTGCAAATACTAATGATGGCTCAAAAATAAACTAAATAAAAAATTATAATATTAAACTTAAATGGATTGATGCAAATAAGGGCAATGAATTGAGTAATTAGAAATGGATATATTCTTGGACCTAGTAATTAGGGAAATTAAAACTAAAATTGGACTAATAATTTCTTTCCTCATAGACAAGAATGCAAACTATTTTCATTAATTTATCCTATTTCTAGGTGTCATTAATGTGTTCAAAATGGTTGGCTTGAATTAAATTCTAACCTCATAGACAAGGTAGAAATAATTCTCCAATATTTTAATTAATAAAAATAGCCAAATTCATTAACTAGTTAAACTCTTTATTTTAGCAATTGAATTTATCTCTCATAGACAAGATGTAAATCCCTTTCATTAATTTATCCTATTTCTAGGCCTTATTAATGTGCTTGAATATGGTTGGCTTAAATTATTTTCTAATCTCATAGACAAGTTAGAAATAATTTTCCAAGAATTTAATTAATGAATATGGTTAACAATTATTAATTACTATTTCATCATTTCAAACAACTAGTCCAAATTATTAATTTTAATCCCTAATTTTCGGTCAACAAGTCAATCCATATTCCTTTAGTCAATTCATGCCAAAAACAAATTTAGCTAATAAACATCATTTTTTCATTTAACAATACAATGAATAAATTCTTCATTAACAAGGAATTAAGCATGTATAATAGCGAAAATTAAACAAAAATAATATTCTGCCAAAATAAAGTTGTAGAACTAAAATATCACCTTCTGGAATTTTTCCCGAATTTTATAACCTAAAATCCAATTTTAACAACTAATTGATAATTTTCTCAATATTAACTAGAAAATACAAAAAACAAAACAACTACAAATATTCTAAATTTGTTCTAAATTTTATATTGACTACTAGGAGTGATATTACTGTGAATTAAACTGGAATTAGTACAGAAACTAATTTTTTGCCTTTTTTGAGTATTTAATTTAATTTATGCAATAATAACAACTAAATGCCGGAATTAATTAAAATTTACTTCTACTTCGTAAAAATTAACTTTGTTTTGATAACTAACTACCTTGAGGCTAGTAAACAACTATATAATTAATTGGAATGGATTTAATGGCAACAACTATTTTATTCAAATTTAAGAAGAAAATGCGAAATAGTGGAATAATTTTCTGGAAATTTTAGAAGCACAGATAGAAAAAACTAAGTACAGATTCAGATTCTACTCATTGAAAGGATGAAAATACATATAAAGAACTCACAATTTGGAGCTAAAATGAGAAAGATATGAAAGATTGAAGTTGAAGGTGCAACAATGGTGGAAATCCGAGCTTTGAGGGGGAAGAAGACGCCCTTTTTGATCTGATTTGGGCTTGAAATTGGTGTGTTTTAGTTGAGGAAAAAGCCTGGTTTTTATAGCAGAAGAAATCCCGAAGGCGCCCGGGCAGGCGGCCGCCTTCTGGCAGCCTCTGGCCGCCTGCCGTCCTGTCGCCGGCAGACCGTCGGTGGCCGGTCTCCGTCAGCCGTAGGCGGCCACAGAGGGCGGCCGCCTTCTGTCACAAATGGCCGCCTGCCGTCTTTTCGTTGGCAGATCGGATCCCGGCGGATCCTGGCCGCCGCAGGCGGTCCAGCAGGCGGCCGCCTGCCGTCCTGTCTGGCCGCCTGCCGTCCTGTCTGGCCGACCGGTGGTCGGTTTCGTCCCCTTGTGCCGCAGGCGGCCACCGTAGGCGGCCGCCTTCTGTCCAGTGTCGGCGGCCTACGGTCTTTTCCAAATTCGGTCAAAGTCAAAGGTTGACTTTCCAAAAATACCGTAGGCGGCCGCGAAGGCCTCCATTTTGGCCGCCTGTTCGGCCGCCTGTGAGATTATTTGTCCGGCTTGTTCCTTGTTTTGTGCTCTTCAATATTGTCTTCTGGACCACTTTGAAATAATGTTTCCTTCTTTCGGTATGATATCATTTGTTGCCCATATTGGCTCATTTTGTGCTCAATTGACCCGAAATCCCGCTAAACATATTATGGATGTGATTTTTACCTGATTTCATGAAACTTGAACCAAAATATATAAAATGTGTCTTTTCTTTCTATTTTTATTCAAAAATCGCTTAAATTTGATAAGAAAAATAAGTACAAAAATGGACTTATCACTTGGCATCGGGCCGCACGGCGAGTCTGTGGCATATGAGATTTGGGTCAATGCCCAGCATGTCCTCCGGCCCTCTAGCGAATAGGATCTTGAACTTCCGTAGGACGGCTATGACTTCGTCCCTGATTTCAGGTTCGAGGTCAGCACCGATGGACACCTTTCTGTCTGAAGGGTCGTCGAGTTCTACCTCCTCGAGCAGGGCAGCTGGCTCAAGACGGGCGTTGAAATCGGCCTGCCTGGACTTCTCAGAGATGTTGTTGACTCGGGCTTCCCGCTCGTTGAACCTCTCCATGGCCTTCGTGTAGCAGGCCCTGGCCATATGTGGGTCCGTGCGGGCCACCCCCACGCCAGTCTCAGTGGGGAATTTGATGCATGAGTGCCGCACGGAGGATATGGCCTTCAAGTCCTCCAAGCCGGGCCGGCCCAGAATCGCGTTGTGAGCACATTTCAGGCGGACCACGACGAACGTCATCCGGATGCGGGCTGTGTGAGGCCCATCCCCGATCTCCACGGGGAGGCCGATGACGCCCTCCGCATTGATGCAATCCCCGGTGAAGCCGGAGAGCGGGGTGCGCAGGGGAGTCAGTTGATCCTTCCTCAGCCTCATTCCTTCGAATGCCTCCCAGTTGAGGATATTCACGTTGTTGCCGGTGTCAACAAGGACGCGGCGGACGAAGGCATTGTTGACGTCCATGCTGATCACCAATTCATGCCTGTGCGGGGCCGGTGACATTGGCATATTGGCTAGCCCAAAGGTAATGGCCTCTATAGAGGGAGCCGATATGGAGCCCACATAGAGGGACCTTTTAAATTTTTTCCGCTCGGCAGGTGTGTCTCTAGTCTCAGCACCCCCGAAGTTCACTTTGATCTCCAACTTCTTCTTCCCGCCGCCCGGGCCAAGGGACCCTTCCGGACGCTTATCGGCACTTCGATAATCCACGTCCTTGGGTTCGGCCTCGCGCCGATCGTCGCGGCGCCATGTTCGTGGCCTCGGATACGGCTGCTTCTCGCTATTCTTTTTCAATAGCTGGGTGAACTCGCCCATATATCCCTGCCGGACCAGCTCGTCGATGGCCATCTTCAGCTGCTTGCAGTTGTCGGTGAGATGGCCGACCCTCTGGTGGTACTCACAATAGGCGGTCTCATCAAGGCCCATGAGTGCCTTTTTGTCTTGGGGCTCCCTCAAGAGGCCCTTGTCCTTGATTGCTTCGAAAATCTGGCCCACAGGGTAGGCCAAGGAGACGTGGTAGTTCTCCGGATGCACATGGCCTGCCTCTAGACGAGCTTTCCACGGAACCATGCTTCCGTCCGTCTTTTTCTTCTTGTTTGGGGATGGCCCGCCTCCGGGGCTGAGCCTATCCGCCAGTTTCCGGGATGGGGCCGCTGGTGCGCTGTCCCTCATCCTAATTTCCTCCTCAATGGAGGCATACTTCTATGCCCTAGCCAAAACTTCGGTGTAGCTAGTACTGGGATTCCTCCGAAGGTCCCGATATAGGTCCCCCGTAGCTAAGGCGCTAGTGAAAATGTTCACTCCCAGCCGTTCGTCCAGGTCATCCACCTGCAGGACTTCATCCCTCCACCTGACTAGAAACTTGGCCAGAGGTTCGTCCTTTCCCTGCTTCACACTAGTGAGGGATGTGAAGCTCTTCTTGGGGGTGGTGCTGGTGGCGAATTGCGCCATGAACTGCTGGGACAGCTGCTCATAGTTGTCAATGGATCCGGGTCTCAGCTGTCCGAACCATTCCTGCGCCGGACCCCTCAAGGTGGTGAAGAAGAGCCGGCATATGGCCTCGTCTGAGGCTCCCAGCATGGAGAGGTTCCCCTGGAAGCTGATCAAGTGGGCTTTAGGATCCCCAGTTCCGTTGTACACTATACCTCCGGGCGGCCTGCAGTCCCGTGGGATTTCCGCATTCATGACTCGCGGCGTGAATGGTGATGTGAGGGGAAAACGCGGCGTAGCCGGGGGTGGCCTCCGCTCGTCTATCCATCTCGGCCATTCGCCGTTCCATCGCCTCTAGCCGGGCCTCCTGTGCGGCCCTTCCGGGGAACACAGGGGGCGGCCTTGAGCGCGATGTTCCTCTGTGGTGCAACCGCGTCGGGTTGCCTTCGAGTGATATTGGCGCCTCGTCTTTGGAAGCGGCATCCAATATTGCTGGCAGCGGGGGTGACCGCCGTGTCCTGACGTTCTGAGGGAACATCTGGCGTGCGCCCCCGATGATCGTCCTGCCAGCCATAGTGGGGGGGGTACTGGCACTGGTGTGCCCCATGGTTCTGTGGGAGGGCGGATTTCGGCCCAACCTTGTGTGAACGGGCGTCTGATGCCCAGCAGATTCCGCCGTTTCATCTAGGGATTACATGTGATGGATCGGGGAGATGGGTGTCAAGATTGTGTGAGTTGAGTACACCTCCTCTTCTGCCTCATGTTCGTCCGCCATTCGGCGCATAGTTTCCGCCAGCTCCCTCATGAGTCGAGGGTCGCGTCTGGCCTCGTGGGGGATAAGGCTGGTGAGGCCACCATCACTCCCAGCGGTTCCCAGCGTCTCCGAGCGTTCCGTGGTTTGCCCGCGGCTCCTTCGTCCGCGAGACAGTTGCTCGGAGAGGTCACGTTGTTGATTGTTTCTTGCCATCGTGCTTGCTGTGGGTAGATTTAGTAGCTGTTTTGGGAGAGTTTTGGAAACTTTTAGTTCAGTTTCCCACAAACGGCGCCAGTGTTGAGGTTTATTCCTTCAACCCTCGGGTCCAACACGTAAGCCCAAGAGTTTCGAGTGGAGTGAGTATGAATAAACTAGCCCAACTAACAAGTGAGATGGATTAAGAAACAGTAAGTAGCAAGTAAGTGATTAGGTATTATTAATCTGTCAATAACTCCCTAATACAATACTTTTCGCTAAAGGCTCGTCGGCCGTTCGTCTTACAAGGCAGTAGAAGTGTTGCGGGTAAGAAGGCTATAAGATAGAGTGCTAAGAATAGAAAGTTGCTAACCCTTTACAATGAAATAAATGCTGCTATTTATACTACCAATGGGCAGTTGGCTATGCTGACGTGGAGGATTGTGGATGGATGGCGTTCCAACCACCAAATCTTCAGCATTAAATGCACTTCCCGCCAGAATCTAGATTCCCCGCCTAATTAGTGGGGACGTTCGTCTAGCTGGGGAGGTGAGTCGCTCCTGGTGATATTGCAAAGGGTATTGGGCCGTTCGTCCTCTGGCCCTTGGGGGATTTGCCATGTGGACTGGATTGCCTCGAGTGGTTATGGGCTTGTTCTGACGACGTTCGTCGTCATTCATGTGGCATGTGGGCCTGTTTCCTGTCAACTGGGTAGATGTTCGTCGGCATGGCTGGTAGGCCCAGGATTTGGTGACGACGTTCGTCCCTTCCAAGTTGCCTGTCAGCTTAGCCTACCCAGTTCTGTCCGGACGTACGTCCGAATAAAAGGGTAAATGGGCCGATCTTTTACTTGGGCCATTATCCCAACAATTATCAAAACACGAAATGACTGCCAAGTACCTTGTGGTCTGATGGCATCACTGTGGCATTCCCAAGGAGGAGGTCACATGTTCGAATCCCATCTCAGTTCAAAGATGTTGGCATTAACAATGAACAGATACTATACAGATTATAAAGAATTGTCCAAAAAAAAACACGAAATGACTAGTTCTCCTCATCATTGACACACCAAAACTTAGTTATGATGACACCGGCCTGTTACAAAAAAAAAAGATGACACCATATAAATTAAAGAAGAATAAAAGAAAACGAAATAAAGAAGAAAACTTAGGAGGTAAGGAAAGTTTAAAGAGAAGGAAAAGAAGTAACAGAAAACTTTTATTTGGAAGTAGTTATTTGTAAGTGAAACTTACAAATAAATGTGTTGTTTTGGAAGTAGTTATTTGTGAGTGAAACTTTTGTATATGGGTTTATGTGTATAAAATGTTACCAATTTAGAGACCTTTACCTTTGTCTTATATTGTATATTCAAAAGATGTAAAATAAACTATTCCTTCAATGTTATCATACATTTGATACAAATAATTAAAAGAAGGAAGAATTACACATTTTTAAGAAATTAAAATTTAAAAAAATTAAATTAAATGTAGTCTCATAAGTGTAGTGATTATTTTAATAACTTCAATCATAGTAATTTAATTGTGTTCAATTTTTACATTAAGCGATCATGATACTTGATGGTACCATGGACTCGGACCATGGCCCAATTATGTAATTCAGCCCATAATGGGATCAAGCCCATAAACGGAATTAGTGTTCGGTATGCCGCCAGACCCGAACGGGGTTAGGCCCACGATAGGAACAATTAATTCCCACATGAATGACGGAATTAGTGTTCGGTCTTGCCACATTTAAGGTCACATAACCTACTGACATATTATGCACTTGAACCAAAAATTCTAGATATAATTTTGGAGTGTTTCAACGCTGATAATAATATTACCATAAATAAATGAGCAAAAAGAGTTACCAAAATCGGTAACAATTAATTCCCACATGAATGACGTGCCCAACCTTGGTTAGCAAGAAACCCAATCCGAATATTTTGCTCCGTATCATTTATATATATTTCAAATATTCAGCCATTCCGTTCCATCCCACCTTAATTGGGCTCAAACGCCTGATTAGCTGAGGGTTTTGACAGTTTAAAACAGCTCAATTGTCCATCCTCTCTAGCCGTCTTGTGAAGGTATACTGCCGATCACTTCTCTATAGAGCTTTTTGTTTTCTTTTATCTGGGTTCTCATCAAAATATGAAGATTGCATGTATTAAGGATTAGTTTAATCAATATATTAATTGCAGGGGTTCTCGTCTGAATCTTAAACCTAACTTTATGTATGCAAAATATGTTTTTTCCCGTCGATTTCTGTCTATTGATTGCAAACACATTGTGAAACTTCTGATTGATTCTTTTACGTTTGATTTCGCCGGTCATAAATAGGGTCTAGTGATTTCCCTTTGTTTTTTTTTATTATGTAACTCTGATCTTCTTGGAGCGAACAAAAATCTTTCCCTTTTTCGGTTGATTGCAATTTCGTTAGAAATTTGATTTGTTTCTAAAGTTCTTGACTTTTATCACATTGTGTTAGTAATCCCGAACAATTTAGATTTATAGATTCTGCCTTTAAAGTTTTTTTGGGATTCATAATATACAGATACTCGTAAGTTGTGCTGGCAAACATGGCGTGCATATAGTTGCCTTACCTCATTAAATTCTATATCTGTAATTACTTAAAGTGAATATCTTTTATTGAATCAGAAATCTTCTTTATATTTTGTGTATTTAGCTTTAATGTTAAAGATTAAGTCTTTCATGTTTTTTCGGATTCATTGTATGCAGACTCTTCTAATTTGCAGATCCTAATTGGTGTATAGATACTATATTTTTCTTTAATAAATCTCTAATATGCAGGACTCATCCTTTCATATTCTTTTGCACTGAAAACATTTTTCATTACTGTTATATAAGTATTTATCTTCTGTATTTGTTTTAAATTGACATGCACAGATGGCAAAGATTACTAGTGATACGGTGGGATGCGTGTTTGCTGAGCTGTATTATACGCATTTGCATATTAAACCGGAAGGAAGTTGTGGATTCTATACCAAATCGAGTTTGGCCACTTGGGATTCCCAAAAATGCATTACAACCCTCGAAGTAAGAATTAATGCATTAAGATTTTATGATCTTTATTTGATGCATAAACTGAGGTTAAAATTTCTCTTGAAATTCTTTGACTTTGGCCTCTTTTTGTGTTTTTTTTGGTGAATTTTTCCATCACACTTCAGATTTCATGTGTTAATGTGTTAATGGTATTGTGGGAAACCCATGCTTACCCAATTTTTCACCGATGATGCAGGGAATACATGAGATGATCATGACATCAGACTTCAAAGATTGTTTTTTTGAAATAGAGGATATCCGCACCCAAGATTGTTTGCAGGGAACTATTCCTGTTGTTGTTACCGGTGTCTCAATTGGGAAAGAAAAGTTGAGAAGGAAATTCAGTCAGACATTCATCCTTGCCAAAAATGAAACAAGTTTTTTACGTTTTAAACGATATTCTTCATTTCGTAAGTGAAGGAGATGACAAAATATCTGAATCACAACCAGTACCTAATATAGGTAATTGAATATATTGAAGTCTTGTTTGGATGGGTTTGGTAGTCAGTATGTACTAGGCAAACTAAATAGGATTACTAGGAATTGAGTTCACCTAAATCCTGTAAATTACTTTATTCTCAGGAATCCAAAGCCAATTCAAACAAGTCTTTTATCAGTACCATGTTTTGAATAAACAATGTTTATATAACACCTTCACTCATAATCTCCAAATCTTCTTTTAGAGCCAGCAACAAAAGAAGTGGACAATGTGAATGATGTGGCTGATGTTGCTATGGCTCCTGAATCAACAATGGAAGTCGTTGACCTTGAAATGCAGCCTACGCCTGAACCGGTACTTCTTGAGGTTGTTCCACATGTACAGGTGGAGGAGAAAGTAGTTTCTGAGGTTTCATCGGATGTAAAGGAGGCTGTCCCTAAAGTCATGGAGACAGTTTCGGAGAAGGTGGTAAAGGTGGATGAGCTAAAAGTGGATGATGCTGCTTCTGAAGATAAGTCGACAATGTCAGAGGAAGTAAAGGATGCTGCTCCTAAATCATCCTATTCAGAAATGGTAAGGGTTAACATGGAAACAGTCTCTCTGTGCTTGTACAGGGGTAAGACTGCGTACATCCGACCCCCCCTTACCCCACCGTAGGTGGGAGCCTTTGCGGCACTAGGGTAAATGAAAATGATGATGATGATGATGTTGTAAATTTTTTATTTCGCCAATTATATTAACCAATATGTTATTTACCATAGGTATCAAAGAACAAAATGGGCTCTACTCCCACACCTGTTACCCAATATGTCAGAGTTTCTGCCTTGGATGGCCTCACTGAAGAAGAGAAGACCAAAATAACAGGTTTGAGAAATGGCTCAATTAAGCCAATGGCTCCCGCTTCTGTGAAAAAGCCTGAAACTCCTCCAAGCAATAATAGCCCACCCATGGATACAAACACTGGCCGTGAGTATATAAAACTTGTTTTCTTGTTCTCTTGTGAAGTCCGAACAAAATTCTGAACTTGAGTTTGTGCATTATGTACTGAATCATTATATACTTTTTCAGCAAAGGGCATACATGTTGGGGGATTACCGCCGGATACTACTAAAGCTGATCTTGCTGGTGTGGTCAAGGTTTTTGGTAGAGTGAAGAAGTATGACAGTGTTCAAGTCATTCGATCTGATGGTGATTACTGTTTCGGATTTGTTCACTTCCAGTCTGCAGATTCTGCAAAGAAGGCAGTTGAGGTTGTTGTTCTACATGTTACTTTCTTCTAAGTCATGTCTCATTTTTATCCTGCTTAGGCCCCATCTAATTCCACTTTGGTCAGGCGGTCTCAGGCCTAAACCTGATTATTCCCCAACCAGTCGATCCCAATTTTATCCCATTTGAACGGACAGTATATGGCTAATAAAAAACCATCAAATTGAAAAAAGGTCTGACAAACTGATAGAAACCAAACCGATCAAAGCCGAACTGATCAAAAGATTCACCACTGGTCCAACTATAGGTGGTTCAATTTAAGGTTTAGCTTTGAAAACGGACCAAATCCATGGAAACTTACTCAACCCCCAAATCGAATTAGGTTATTTAGTGTGGGTTTTGGTTTGGCATTTTTAGCTCCAAACCGACCAAAGCCCCCCGACAAACACCTCTAACACTTGTAAATGATCTTTGATTGTTTTCAGACTAAAGTCATCAAGGTGAAAGGCAAGGATGCGTACATCTCATATAAGAGAACCGGGAGAAGAGGTATTGTGTCTTTTTATTTGAACCTCAAGTCTCTCAGCTGGTTTTCTTGATTTATACGAAGTATTGCATTTGATAACAAAAAAAGTGATGGCAAACTTGTAACTCTGCTGCAGCCTCCTATGGCAATGACAATCGCGGTAGGTCTCCATTCGGCATAGGTGGATCCCACAGCACGACTCCATCGAGCAGGGCCCCATCATGCAACAGCCAGTTGAGTGGGTCCCATTATAGCGAGACTCGCCATGTCAACCAGCAAAAAAATGGTGAAACACGCCAAGTTAACCAGCACAACAATGGTGAAGCTCTCCATGTCAATCAGCACAACAATGGTGAAGCTCTCCATGTCAATCAGCACAGCAATGGAGAATCTGCCCACGTCGACCAACACAGCAATGGTGAAATTATAGGTGCGGATGGAGATGAGGAGGGATGGATTGTTGCGAAGAGACGCCAAAGAGGGCGCAATGATAATAATGTGAACGAGAGAAATAATGGTCAAAGACTGCAAAATGGAAAAACATATTCTCGGCATGCCATTGAGTCGGACCGCAGAATGAGAAACGGCGAAAGGGAGGAACAAAGACGGCGCAATGGAGGGGTCCATGATCAGAAACGTAGCAGCAGTTGAAGTGATGCAACATGCTTAACATATGTTTTTCCCTGTCATGCTCCAATTTTTGCGAATTTTTCCTGTCCTCGCTCTTCATCCTTTGTCTATTAGGAATAATTATTTATTCTACTATATTCGTGGCTCTTATAAAATTTTGTATTTGAGATATTAGTTTTCTTAGCCCCTCTTTCAAAAACTCATTAGTTTTAATGATAGCAATTTTTTTACAGTGGACAAATTAGTTTGATTTTATTTATCAGAAAATTTGAATTTGGATTGCCTTTAAACCCTTTAAAACACTTTTAAAATAATACTAGAGACTTAAACACAGATCAATATATCACCATACTCATACTAGACGTGACTTAAATTGATCAGTTATATAAATATTTCTGATATAGTATTTTTCTTTTTACTGCTACAACAGATAGCACTTTGGCTGATAATATAAGATACGAAGTATGTGACAATGCGAGGCTCTAATTAACATACTCCGTGTAATCTGTTTTTACATGATTTTGTTAACCTTTGTTAAAGGTTAAATATGTTTTTAGTCCCTGCAAATGTATGTAGTACATTTTGTTTTACGTTCTTGTAAAATTATATTTTTGCTATTCATTTTTGTAATTTATGTTGATTTTCAATTTAGCCTATAACCGATGACAACAACCTCCGTTTGTTAATGAAATAACCCCAAGTAATGTCTCCTCTCTTTTTTGTTATGTTATTTAAAAATGATAAATTTTTTTAGATTGTTTTAACTCTCACGCGAGCTTCAAAAAACTATAAAGAGATAAACTTATATTACGTACTTAATAAATTAATAAAAGGGTAACTTTTTACGAGCAGAGACAAAAAAACAGTTATCCAATATTTTAAAAGAAAATACTTTGCAATGACAAAAAACAAAGTGTCATATGGTAAATTATCCCATATTGACTTTGTAGTTGTAATTGAACGTGACTCTAAGCACAATTGATTTGGGAAAGTTCCTAAAATAGGACTAAAACAGTTTAAAAATTCCAAAATATGACTGTCATGTTTTTTATTCCTAAAATAAGAGTAATTACTGCCAAATTTGGAAAATATTGTCATGTTTGAAGTCTAGTACTGCCAAAACATGGCAGTAATTAGTCATATTTTGGGAATAAAAACATGACGGTCCTATTTTGGAATTTTCAAACCTTTTTAGTCCTATTTCGGGTAATTTTCTCAATTGATTTTAGAAATATGGTAAATTTAAAAAAAAAAGTGTCATATGGTAAATTTATACTACCTATTACTTTAGAAATATAAATTTATTGCAATAAGTACATAATATAAAATACTACTACATATAAGTTTTGTTTGGATATAGTTAACATTCTAAAATTCATTTGTGAAATAAATAATATTAATCTGGCATAATCTATTTTTAATAGGAAAATGGTCAAATAAGGTCTTCTACTATTACAGAATCGTCACATAAGGTCATGCCTTCAATAAAGTGTCATATAAATACCTTTTCTTATAAAAAGCAATCAGATGAGTCAAAACAACCTGTCGACAACCTCTTAATCCTGATTTGAGCTTACATGTCGTTCTTTTTGCATTGTATTTAAGACGATCATGGCCAATATTACACGTCAGCCTTATAATCTATTTCAAAAAGATAACCAGACGTGCGTTAAAACCGGGATTACGAGGTTTTAAAAAGATAACTAGACGTACATATAAACTCATTTTTCTTAATATACGCACCACTTATGTCTCGATGTTAGTGAGATAGACGTAGTAATCATTTACAAAAAGACCACTTTAATATTGGATAAAAGTTGTCGCACCTTGCGCGACCAAATGATTAATATTGGACACAATTAAAATTAATATTGGACCATTATTTTAATTTGAAGTTTCAATGTTGTATTTAATATGTTAATTAGACAACTTCTCTCGCTTTTGGATTGTGTGTTTATGTTAATCTTGTCATGTTTAGTTTTAATTTACTATGATAGGAGGTATAAAAGCTCCTAATGCTGACAATTATTTCGAAGCACTCCATGTTCAACAAAAAGTTTTGCTCAATTTCGGGTCAATTTTGTATAAATGAGTGGGGAGTGATGAGCCTTTTGGTTACTATAAGTCTAGCGTGAGAGAAGAGTTGAGTTGTGACACATGTAAGAGCATCTCCACTTATACATATCATGGTTCTCATTTTTTATTTCACTATTTTTATGTGTATGACCAACATATTTCATAATTTATTTAATTTGTGTTTTTATATCACTTTAAATCCACTTCTCCTCTAATTTTTCTTCTCAAATGCCGTGTAAGGTCCTTTTGTGAGCCTTTTTATAGATATAGGTCTACAATTTATCTCGATCTCTCTCATTTTTCCATTTCTACATGCATGGCATTTTTTATATTAAATTAAAAATTGTCCTATCTTTATCGCTCTTATGTCACATAGGATATACTTTCCTTAATAACTTTACATATTATTATAAAAACTATTTCACTTTCTATGAACATTAAAAAGTGTTTAAGTTGAGTTTTAGTTGTCTTTTCATCCATCATAAATATTACAAATACAAAAATAAATATAAAAAATTCTGAAATTAAAAGTTATTGAGAAAAATAATAATCAATATAATATATTAATCACACTATTTTCCACAAATGAAAAATAGTTGTTGGGTTAATAGGTCCGACAGGGGAGTGACCCATTATCCCTTGGCAAGAAAACCATCAAGGCCCAATTTAGATACGAACCGTACGATCAGCGTGATGGATGAAAAGACAACTAAAACTCAACTTAAACACTTGGAGACGCTCAGCGACAGTATCCTTGGCACAGGCGCACAGTAGAGCCAGGTGATGATCCAGGGGCCTCAGGGAGAACAATCGGCTTAGGTAGGGCAGAGCCCCGTCCTTTTACTCACTTGAGTCCAGAACTCAAGGGCAAGAGGACACTCGCCAGAGTCTATTGGAGGGAAAGTAAGATATTGGCGGGAAACAAATTTAATGTAGTACATTTAGTGGTTGGAAAGATAGTCACTCAAGAACATCCACGACATCACTGTCACCTAGCCCTTGATAGTGTAAATAGTACTACCTCCGTCCCATTTTATGTGTCTCATTTAGTTTTGGTACACTTTTTAATAAAGTGGTTGAAAGGGTAACAATTATGATTGAGATTTGAATATAGTAAAGTGAAATTTTGTGAACCAAATTTTTCTTTTCAAAACTGGAAAGGTGACACTTATTTTGGGACAACCCAAAAAGGAAAATAAGACAAGTAAAATGGGGACGGAGGGAGTAGCATTTATTTCATAATTAGGGGTTCACAAATTGTACTTCGTACCAATAGCAGTTATAATCCCTTCTTCCTAGCTCATATAGATGATCGACCTAGCAGGCCTGTAGTGAAGCTAAGTGTGCTGTAACAAACTCTTATTACTAATTAATAAGATACGACCCACTTACTAGACTTCTTACTTGTCCTTTATTTGCTTGCACTATCCAAATACTCATAATCCACTAACAGTATTCCACTCGAAATCCAAAGGAAGGTGTTAGGCCTTTGAAATTGAATGAATAAACCTCAACAATAGTAATATTATTGCTTGAGAAAACATGAAACCATTAATTTTCTCATTTTCATTCGTGTATGTATGTGGGCTATATAATATTTTTTGTTTAAAAAATATTCTAAAACTAGATACTTGGAATATCTTCACTTTTATAAACACTTTTAAAATAGAAATAATTACAAATTTATGATTAAAATAAAGATTATTTACAAAATGTGACTAGTGACTAGAGTTGAATGAATGAATTCATGTTTAACTTTATTTTGTAGATGCTTATCAATGACAATTACTATTTGTTACTCCATACTCCGGTATTATTTTATTTTATGCAATGTGTTGAGTTTAGTGCCCTCATATCTAAGGTTCAACAGAATACTTTTGGAGGGTAGTCGATTCATGATGTACATAATTAATTAGAGTAGGGACGGCCAAGAGGATTTCGGTTTGCATAGGTGGTTTTTTACAATACACTAACCCTAAAATCCTTATATTTTACTCCAATTTCATCCACCAATGATGTTTAGGGAAAATACCAATATATTACTAAAACATGTCCACTTTCCCAGAATATGACTTAAGAAGTTTATTTACCATTATATGACTACTAATGGGTGTAGAGGCATACGACATGCGTTAATATAGCAGTTACATTTGTAAGATGGCATGTCATTAATGCACCATTCTAGGAAAAAAACTTCCAAGACATTGGGAAATTTTATCTCTTCTAATCATACATGTGTTAATTTTCTCATGAGGTTTATGGTTACAAGCAATAAATGCTATCAAATACTCAAATGTCACCATTACGGAGACAATTATAGAGAGCGAGAAGAGAGCCCCATTTCAGCGTTAGAGGATCTATGGGACACCGACATAAATCAAAACATTTGCAACAAGGCCTGCTTGGTCACAAAAGAAAATTGTTTGCCCACACAGAACCTCAGCACTCAAATGAAAATATCTAGGAAAAGACACCAACGATCGCATCCCATGAGAACAAGATCTCAATCTCATATTGGGTTTTAATAACCTCATGGAACTCAGTGATTTCATAGGGAGAGTTACCATTTATTGCTTCAATTCACCCTTTATGTAAAATACATTATTATATCTATGCATACAATTACATTACATACATGATACATATATGATTCCAAACCATGGTAAATATCACTGAGTCTCAATCATCATGATATTTATAAATCTAAAATTACCTATAAAAAGTCATTGGTCTTGAAATCTTAAATAACTTGTCTTGACTATTTCACTGCCAAGTACTTACTGTTAGCTTTTGTAGGCTCAAACTGGACTTAGAAAACCAAAATAGCTGAAAGTATAAGAAGTGAAGAAGTTGGAGACGAACACAATTGAAGGCTCAGTTGCGAATCAGTCGTTGAAGAATCGAAGAAGAAACAACATTTTTTTGCAATGAGTTTTACATACTTAGAAGCGTTTTACAAATTGTTATTTTTTACTCCCGCCGTATCTATTTAATTGACCTATTTGCATTTTCACGTAGTTTTAAAAAATTACTGTAAATTATTATATGTAAAGTAGGAGGTTTTTGGTATTGTAGCGATACTGTAGCAGTATTGTAGCGGTACTGTAGGCTGTAACTACTTTTTGAGTGAGTTTCTTTCCAAAAATGGAATGAGACAATTAA